TGTTTTTATACAGTCTATGGTTTATTCCAGCCGCGCCACGCACGTTTCTGAAGCGGCTCTTTGCTGCTTCTGTAAAGATACACGCATATGTCTCCTTTGAATAAATATAGCCAAAATCCCACCAAAATCCGTTGCCATGATTTATCGCGAGAGGCAAAAGGTTACGTTTAAGTCTCATAACATTGGTTAATGGAAACGCCGTCATTTCGCAATACTTTTTTATCGACATTTATAAAATATCTCCAAAGTTTTGCGCAAATCTGTAATGGAAACGCGCCTAATTGTTGTAATGAGTATTGTTGCAGTACGGACTGTATTCGGTGCCACTCAGGCAGACTTCCTGTTTGACAGTGTTACTGACCGTGGGTTATGCAGTGTTCAATAAAGAGTACGCAACTATATCGGCGTTAATCGTCCATTCTATTTATGATAGAGAATAGAATGAAACACACGTCACTGCGTTTGCATTAGCTCTCGTGAGCTATTTCGTCCGAGCTATTACAGCGACTCATTTGGCGCACATTTCTCTTTCTGAAACCTGTAAACCACATTCTTACTCTATAGCGACCCCAACTCTATATAAGTTAGCGGTTTGCCTGAGCATGCAGTTATTTCGCACTTACTAGACTTCAATCACATGGCTTTCCCAACTTCTTTTTGCGTCTGTCCTGTGCGCCGCATATTATTTCTTTTGCGCGGTCGCGACGAATTAGAAGGAACATTGTTGTATCATTTCAATTAATAACTCATATTGTCTTCAAAGATGATTTAATGATAGAGCCAGGGTTTAAATATACACTAAGTCTGAGGGTGCAAAAAAAAATCTAAATATTGAGAAAATCGCCTTTAAAGTTGTCCAAATGAAGTTCTTAGCAATACATATTACTAATCAAAAATGAAGTTTTGATATATTTACAGTAAGAAAATTTACCAAATATCTTCATGGAACATCTTTACTTAATATCCTAATGATTTTTGGCATAAAAGAAAAATCTATAATTTTGACCAATATAATGTATTTTTGGCTATTGCTACAAATATACCCCAGCGACTTAAAACTGGTTTATATATATATTATATATGAAACGATGTGATTTTGGAGGCCAGTACACGTATGTTTGACCAGTAGAATAACTAAACAACATTATTGTTTTCATTTTGCAGTTGTGATTCAGTACAGAAGACTGACAGAGGATCTTTCTTTAATTCTCCTGCGAACAGTCATTAAATGAAAATCTAGGATGAAGGGTGTGTGACATTCAATGGATAAATGCTGTTTGTTACACGTATCACTAGATGGCAGTGTTTTGTAAGGTGTCAAGGAAGGCACTGAAGAACCAAAGGAGATGTATGGTTATCTTAAAGGGATAGTTCACCCAAAAATGAAAATTCTGTCATTAATTACTCACCCTCATGTTGTTCCAAACCCGTAAGACCTTCGTTCAACTTCGAAACACAATTTAAGATATTTTTGATGAAATCTGAGGGCTCTCTGACCCTCCCATAGACAGCAAGGTAACTACCACGTTCAAGGTCCAGAAAAGTATACCAAGATGAAAATACCGACTTTATTCCACATTTTCGTCTCTACTGCGTCACTTGTGGACGCACGTTCAGGAC